TATGTCCTGAGATCAGGCGCGATCCATCGCGGAATGCAGCTGCTGAGGTCGAATATCTTAAAATGTAGGCCTAGGCATTGGAGAAGATCGACATCGGAATAGGCCTATGGCTAGGCCAACCCCGACGCAACCCGATTATTTTTGTAGGCCTCACTTAACTTAAATAAATGAAATCCTACCGTTGAGCTGTATGCTTGTTTATCCTGTTGAAATATAGGACATGCCGTCTTCCACAAGCCATATTCCACTGACAGTAGGCCTAGGCAATTTTTTTTATCTTTTTTTGGCTTCATGGTAAAGGTTTCCTACTGCATAGTCATATCATCGACGTCACTTCTCGCACTGCACCAACTCGTAACTCGTGTGTTTGTGTGGAAAACGTGTTTGTAAACAGCGCGTATATGCCTTGTTCTGATTGGTTACTGGGAAGTTTGATTGACAGCCCGGAAAGGTCTATTTCCATACGTATTTGGAGAGTGTTTCTGTGTTTGGGGGTGTTAAAAGTGTATTTGTGGTTTGTGTATCGGGTTTTGAACGGTGTGTCGGTGAGCCCGATGTAGCATATTGTGTCATCATTTGAGTGGACAGTGGCTTTGTAGATGATGGATGAGGTGAGGCAATTTCCAGAGAGTGGACGTTCATCTAACAGCCAGATAAATTCTGCAATTGCAGAAATTGCAGAGGTTAAAAGCCAGATAAACTCCTGATGAGTGTGGGCAGCTTTTAACAGCTGTCCATACAAAACAAATTTGTAGTAACAAATGCATATATGCATTTGTTACTACAAATTTGGAAGAATTGTCTACTTTGTTCATTTTATTTTTCTCGCAACCGGTTGAGCCCTCTCACCCTTGATGACTTACAAAAAGATGTATAATAATCATCAAAGAAAGGTAATTTAACAGTGTTAACTGCTATCTTGATTTATATATATATATATAATATATATATATATATAAGAAAAAAAAAAGAACGTTATGCTACGCCGTGTGCTACCACTGAACACCAGTGTCCTGACTGCAAAAAAATACTTCAAAGCAAGAATTGGTCTTATCAGCCAATCGCAAACACACCAAATGATGTTTGTGGTCATCTTGGAATCGAAGGACGA